ATAATTATATACATATATTTACACACAAATATTGTCACTAGAAATACAATAAAAACTGGTATGCAGTAGATCTTCCATTCTAGAAGCTGGATAATTCATGTGACTGTGAATCTCATTTTTTGGACTGAAAACCTCCCCAACTATAGCTTAGATTTATTAAGACTTGCACAAGCACAAAATGTATCATCCAATCTTACTAGTGGAGTCCTTGTATGGTTCAGTAATAGTACAGATTTCATCTCCTGCCCAATAATCAACCAAAGTCTCAAAACTCCAAGATTGTAATGGAAACCATAGAGGTCACAAGTTCATTCTAAAGTGATGCCTCCAGAGAATGCTTACATCTTCAAAATATTAATAAAAAATACCTCTGCAGTGATAGCAGCCAGAAGTGGCTATAATTTCCACATGCTTATTAATGATCATTTAAAGATCTTTTTTTTCTCCCCTTAATAGGATTGTGTTCAACCTGAATTTTAACACATTATCAGATGATTTGTTCCACAGAGCAGTAAGTTTTATAAAATCCTTGCTATCTTTCTCCCAAGACTTCCAGACTCCCCCAAGTGGATATCTGAGAAATTCAGCCAAGTGCCTCTACATAAAACTCTACCACTTCTTCACTCTTCGACCAATTCACACCAACTTTTTTTCCTCTATGAATTGCACCACGACAAAGAATTTCTCTTTCTTTATTAATATTCCCACTTTTACATCAGCATTTTATAATTTATACACGTGGATATTGACTTCCTTAGAAATAATCTTTTTCTTGTTTACGGTGTCCCACCTCCAGCCCCTTCCCTTTTCATCTTTAAATAAGTGAAGGCAAAACTGGCAGACTCATTTAAAAAGCACACAATGCTTTGCAGGGTCAAGGTTATAAAAAGCCTTTTACATATATCAGGCACCCAAACTGGAAAGTCTTGCAATCTTTACCCTGAAATAAACAAGACAGACAGAGTTTAGATAGAACAATGTAGTCTGCTCTGAGTTACAGGCGTCAGAATTTCTGGAATCTGCTTTAACCAATTAAGCCATTCAAGGCAAGAGGAAATAAAGGCTTCAGTAAATCCATTGAAGGCTCCATCTCCCAGCCTCCCACTGCCTGTTATTGATCTTTTTAAGTGCGGACTAATGAGTCATATATATATACCTGATGGCATGCTCTCACTCCACCACCTCAGAGGAGCTAAACTTACACAAAGAGTATAAATCGGGTGAAAGGGAGGTCACAAACCGGCGGCTGCCTTCCTCCGCCTCTTAAAATCCAGCTCCACAGGCTGCCTCCTGGGGAAACAGCAGACCCGGTTCCCTACTTTCCCGACAAAGCCATTATTAGTTCGTTCGGAGGAGATTTTCCATTCTGGTCGCTTCTAGGGCGAACGCTTTTGTTCGCCACCACTCTTCAGTTGTGGGAGAAGAACTATAGAGAATTGCAAAGCATGCTCGTGTCAATAGCTTCTTTGCGGCAAAGCCTCCCTTTCCGTTCAGCTTTGGCAACTGAGAAGCTCCGAGGTTCTCATGAGAGATGGGTGAGGGGAACGCCAGCATGACAGACACAGAAACCAGAGACCCCGATTTACCTTCTGTGCACTTCCACTCGCACCGCCACAACTCCCCTTCCCCCCAACTGGCATCAGCACAGACTTTCAATTCTCTACAGAGGGGTGGGGCGGCTAGGGGACATCCTCCCCTCCTTTCTCTGAACAGGAAAGGGCTCCTAAACCCCAAATACAAGAAAAATCAGTACAATCAAGTAAGGCAAACGCAGGGGGCCGCAACTCTGTGGCTGGGGAAGCGCGGCCGGCCACTGCTGGGCTGCGCTGTAGTTGGAAGCCTTGGGTTTTTGCTAGGAAATAATTTTATTCAGCCTCCCCGCCCCTCGTTCTTGCCCCCGCCCCCCCCCCCCCGGACCTCGGGGCAGGAAATCTCCATCCATTCATTCTCCTCTCCGCCCCCACCTCGCAGGCATCTCTCGTGTCCCTGCGGCTGGCCGCTCCGCCGCCCGCCCGCGGTGGCCGGCGCGTCCCTCGCCCTCTGCGCCCGGCGCGCGGCGCGCACGAGGTGCGTTCCGCTCGCTGCGCGCTCCCTCTCCGCCCGGGCTGCGCGGCCGTGGGTCCCGGCGGCGGGGGAGGGCGGGGGAGCGGCGGGTGACAGATGTACTCCTCTGACAGCTCTCAGTATCAGCCCAGTGGCTCCCTGCCATTGGCTCAGTGCAATGGACCGGCAACGCCGCTCACTATAATAACACTCATGCCTGCGAGCAGCAGCAACTCCGAGTGCGGGCGCCCAGCGCGGGGGATGCTGCCGCCGCCGCCGCCGCTGCCGCTCGGGCGGCTCCTGCTGCCCTGCTCTACGCGCCCTGCTCGCGGGCACTGACTCGGGCCAGCTCGCTCCGGCCCGCCAGGGCCCTCCCAGCCAGGGGTCCTCCAGCGGGGCTGCTCGGCCTAGGCGCATTAGGAAACCCAGACACCGAGACAGACTGAGACCGGAGAGCGCGGAGAGGATGCGGAGGCGGGGCAGTCGGGGTGCGCAGGGCGCTGGGCTGTAGCGAGCCGAGCTCCCCAGGGTGTGCGCCGGGCGTGCTGCCCTGCTGGCCGGTCTCTCGCCCACCCTCTCCCGGCTCAGGCACGCTGCGGCGGCCGGCGCGGGTGCATGGAAGCGGCGGCTGCGGTGGAGGAGGCGGCGGCTGCCCCATGGAGTGTTACTACATTGTCATCAGTTCCACGCATCTCAGCAACGGACACTTTCGCAACATCAAGGGAGTTTTCCGGGGCCCTCTCAGCAAGAACGGGAACAAAACTCTGGTAAATCGCTTCTGTTTTCTCCTCTCTTAAATCACACGCTCAGTCTCTCTCCACCACCTACCCTCTGTTTCTTACCCTCTGCCTAGTAGGTCATTTAAAAATTTTAGTTTATTTATTTATTGGTGGAGATGCCTGCTTGAGCTTACCATCAGGTTTTCGAGGGGCAGGGAACCGATTTGGTGTGCAATTTGTTTCTTGGACGTGGGGTGGGAGTTTTAAAAAGGTTTTAGGGAATTGTTATTCATTGCTTTGATGGATAACTCTTCCCACTCACTCCTCAATATTGAAGGGTTAGCATCCTCTTTATTTATAGCAAATAGTGTCAAGAGAACTGCTCGGGGGTGGGGGGGGGGAGGGGAAAAAGATATGAGATCCCCAGTGAACCTTAACATCTTGTGGATTCGAAAGCTAAAGGTGAAGGGTGTGGGTGTCTCTTGGAGGCTGTGGTTGATGTCAGAAGTAGTGGAAAGAGTAATGGTCTCATCAAGAGTTTGCATTTAGACTGTCTCCTTAAGGACTCGCAACTAACTTCTCTTGTGAGAAGTTGTCAGTACTGACTTTAACAAAATTCCAGAACCCCGGGCAGTTAATTTTCAAATATTCTGTCAACATAGATAGAGGATTAGTGTGAAGACCATTCATTACAATCACAGCCACTAGAAAGCATGTCGGATAAGCAGAAGGCGTTCAGTCGCAGGAATGTTCTTAGTGGACTACAGAGCTTTATTTTTCAGCATCCTGTTGGGAAGAGCACTCCTGATTGGTGAGAGAAGATAGGCTGAACATAGAGATAGTGCAGAAATAGATCTACTTTTCATCCAGACTTCCTCTTGGCTCCACAAATCTCTTTGCAGAACGAATTCTAGTGTATTGATGTCTCCCCAGAAGTATTACCCTCCAGACAAGAAAAATGGAAATGGAAAGCATATTCATTCGGTGGAGCACTGCCCAAAGCATAGCTTGAGTAAGGTCTAATATACGAATGTAAAACCTGTGTTACTGAAAGTATGGTCCATTAGCAAACCACGCCCTCTTTCTTAAAAACTAAAATCTCTTTACATTCCAACTTCCACCTGACCTCCAACGCTCTTCAATGTTCCCCACCCCCCTAACCTCAGTTTTACCATGTTAACTGAAGAGGTGATAAGTGAAAGTTCAAAGACAAATTCAACTCAAAAGGAAATAATTGTAATAAAATTTTCTTTATATATCTTAAAATGGGATTCCCACAGAATACAATGGTTGTGTTGTGTGTTTTTCTGAGAATAGTAAGTTATTATCTGAAGTTTCAAGGGAATTCTGACATTGATGTGTTTTTATTGATGTGTCTTTATTGAATTCTGACATTGATGTAATGATGCATTCTAGTGTCTTTTTTCTTTGGATTTCTTTTCATCTCTCTCTCAACTCATATGAGGTTCAAAAATCAGAGCTATTTTTAAATATATTGTTGTTCTGGATGTGGAGGTTGGTGGTGTTAAAGAAAGTGAAAATACTCCTCCCCAGCTATTCTTAGTGAGATACTGTAGAGAACTGTAGACAAAGATTAAGGGAAATAATAGAAATTATGCTAGCCTTTCTTACAGAACTCAACTATATAGAAGCAATAGATGGGGGGAGATCCCTTCAGTAATATTGACTAGTGTTTTTAAATCAAGTTTCACTTATGAGAAAGGCAGACTTGCTGAACAAGATTTCTTCAATATAGCCACAGTGCTAAAAGATACACTTTCACAATAAAGAATTAATTTAAGAAATTATTCATCAACTTCACCATGCTAAAATGCTGTTATTTGTTAAATTAGATTGTTTGACCTAAGATTAGATCTAATTAAACTGCTATAATCTTAGATTAAATCAAACCTGTATTTCTAATAGTGGTTAATGTTATTTATGTGGACCTGTTTATTTTTTAATTTGCAAATTGATCAATAATGGTCATAATCATGTTAACAAAAGAGAGTAAGAAGATTAGATTTGCCAGTGTAACTTTGTGATTAAAATGAGTGATTAAAAAAACCAGAAACAGTTACCAAATTTTAACTAATAAAGGTAAATATGAGAAAATGTCAGAAGTATTAAAAAGACTTAGCCATATCTCATATACTCCTTTTAATTATAATAAAAGAGATTTCCAGAAAGTTCCCGACTTACACTTTGAGGTTGTGTTTATAAACTGTCAAAACTTTGGATTTTCTGTATGAGGGAATTACATACATTTGAAATTATATAGGTTTTTTAATATAATCCAACTTTATGTGAAACAACTTCATCATAAGACATATAAGTCATCTTTATACATAGAGTTAGGTAAATTTTGATATTGGAATGAATGTGAGTTATGTCTGTTTTTAAGTATAATAAAAGAGGGTCTAAGTATCAGTAAGTTAATATTTTTAAAAAGATATAAATATTAATATATATTTTTAGTAAGAGCGTCTTTACCTTAAAATGTAACTTTTGCAACATGTAGGAAACTGTGAGCTAAGAGTTAATATACAACAGAAAAATTAACTGAAACTTTGAAGAATTAGCAACTTTAATAAAAAATAGAAATACTGTCTTAACATAATGTATGTGCTATTTTTTGAAAACATTGGGTAAAACTTCCGAGTATCATGTATCTAGGAAATTATTCTGAGATATGTTAAAATTTTTTCATATTTGGAAATCTCTCTTTAAAAAGATCCCTTATTCTTGCACTTTGAAATGTTTATTAACTATAGTACTTTTAAATGATGACTTAAGTGGTAATTTAATTTCAGGAAAATAAAACTAAAACTAGAAGACCACTCAGGGGAAAATTCATTCCAAAAAAGTATAAATCCTATTTAATTATAGAATAATTAATGGATGTTACAAAAATATTTCATTTAAGATTTAAAAATTTATTCTTCATAAAAACACAGGATTCATTCAAGATAAACTTATAACTGTATTGTTCTCTCATTAATGGGATATTTATAAAAGGATAATTATATAACTCAGATTTCAGTGTTTGTTTTATTACTTTAGTCAAAACTCCAGAATGTAATCCTTCCCCTAATATTTAGCAGATAAAAAAAACTCACCCAAATCCTTTCCATAAATCATCCAAATATAGATTTCTTGGGGGGAAGCATCCCTCCTGAAAGTTAGTAAAATGGTAAGTCTATAATTAATATTCACTTTATTATTAAGCTTTTAAAATTTATTTCACTGGACAAGTTTAGCTAAAAAAAAAGTAGTAGAATTCCATTTAATAATGTCTTACAAGCAAAAAGAAAGGTTAATCTGTGTGTGAGCTCTATTATACATTGCATTATATCTGTGATATAGATTTAATTCCATTAAATAAAGATTAAGGTAATATTTTATTAGTGCTCCAGAAAGTTTTGAATATGTTAGAAAGTTCATTGATAATGGAGAAAGTTTACCTTACATATATTTTCTTTGAATTATCCCAGGAGGGACCAATCCTTGGAGAGGGACATCATGCTTGGGAGGGTAGAGGGACAGTGCAAGAGAGGAAGACCCTTGATGACTCATCGATTGACCAGTGATGGGGTTATGGGGATAGGTTCATCAGAGACAATAAGACTCAGGATAGAGCAGGGTTAAGAGCTGTTGTACATAGGGGTCACTATGAGTCGTTTAGTCGAGGGCACATAACAACAATAAACCTTGTATAAGCTAATATTTATTAGTTAAGGACATTTAATTATACTTTTTTGTTTACAAATTATCCTAATATTTCTTTGCCTTAATTACGTAATTTTTTAAAAATACAGAGTTTGGGTTTGCCTTTAAGACTTCAGAAATCATTATTAATTTGCGCATTACATTCCATTAGCATTCAGCATTTTTATAATAGTATTGCATCCAATTTACTGACTGTGGTTTGTTTAAGGCCATGTAGTCAATTAATAATATGATGCAGAGAATCTGACTCCAGTATGTTTCCTTTATAATGTATCTATTAAATTATGAAATCTGTAAAGATTGATGTGTATGCTGATATTCACTCTGATAAAGATTTTTTAAAAATTTCCCATTTATTGATTGTAGTTCTTTTACTTTTTCCAGTTGCATGTAGATGGCATACCTGCAATATCCTCGGGATAAATTAGACTCAACATTATTTTTATGGCTTATCTTCCACGACTTGGGGTTGTTATCAGCTGGAAACCCATTTGACAGCAGTTAACAACAATAATCATCCATTTGGGAAACATCACTGACATTTGGCTTCAGCTTTGTTTTTTTAGAAGACACTCTCCATTTCAGTGTATTAAGAACCAGATTTACCAATAAAAGAAATATTCATTTACTAATTCATTGTTAACTTATTTGATTAGTTCATTCAAGCTCATTGAGATGTACAATTGCAAAGCACTGTTAGAAGACTCTCAACAAGATGGTTTGATAGAGAGCTATAACTATGGGCTTGAGCATATATATCAGAGATCATATGAATGGTACAGGGTACAGCAGGTTTTACATCTGTTGTTAGAGAGAGAGTCTCCATGAGTCTAAGTTGTCTTGACCAAACCTGAAAGCAACAACACGACAATATTCTAGGTATCAAAGATTCTATGCTAAGTATTATTTACTAAGCATATATGCTTCGTATTTGTGAAGCTGGTATATGAATACATCTTAGCATTCAGGGATATTCTCATTGTGAAACTGCTGAAGACATCTACTTATTTCACATGTTTCTAGGTTTCTTGTCACTCTTAAAGTTTTCAAATATATTAATATTGAAAAGTTAAATATTCTGATTTTGTTCCTTACATATCAGAAATTCACTAAGATTAAGACTTTCAAATTTACTGTTTGGATTTTTAAATATCATTATTATAACAATGTTGTTATTAATCTCATTCTTTTAAATGCTTTCAATATCTTCTAGAGTGTGTATTTTAGAAAATTTCTCCACTTAACCAATTGAATCTCACTTAAATGGCATGTTTATGTGTAGAAGAATAGAGATAAGATGTTTAGTCTTGTAAGAAAAA